TTTTTTTTTTCTTTTTTTTTTTTTTTTTCTTTTCCCACCTGGAAGGAGTCCTATGCTATTGGCTCCTTAGGATTGAATCGCTGTTATTCATTTCTTTATTTTAATCTTTATTATCTTTTTCGTTTTCGTTTTTTTTTTTCAGCATGATTTTCAACAAGTTATTGAAGTTTTTTATGAGTCCTCATATCTCCTTTGGAATTCACAGAGCTAATAGCTAATAGCTAATAGCTAATACTAGCCTAATAGTAAATGGATAGCCAGAGATCCGTAACGATAGACATTCGCCCTACTGATGCTAGAGCAAGTATTATGCTATTGGATCCATGTTCTCGGCTATTGCAGCAATAGCCTCGCTGCTGGTGCTGCTGCTGCAGCTCTTCATCTTGTTGCTTAAGCCTTATGGCAACGCTTAACTCAGCAAGGATGGCGGTATGATTCTTCGAGTCTGCCCCGAATCTTCTTCGAGTCTTCGTCGAGTAATACTTGTGACTGGCAGGCAATGGGTACAAAGGATGGTCGGTATAATGCTCCTTCCAGTCATCTCCAAGTCTTGTCCGAGCTGTCCCCGAGTTTGCCCCGAATGTTCTCGGACTCTTCGTCGCCAGAAAAGGACGGTCTCTGTCGCTACGTGCAAGCTATTCTTTGCTATTCGGGGCACGATGCAGGAATCTTTGTCGGCTCGTCATTGCTATGATGAAATTTCGAGCATGTGAGGTTAAGATTTCTTGCCTTTTTTTGGTTTTTATAGCAGAAATAAAAATACTGTCGTAGAGCCAGCCGATGATAAGCCAACCGGAGTAACGCCCCCCAGAATAGAAGGGTCTGTGTTTTTGTTAAAAAAAAAGAAAAAAAAAAAGAAGGTAAGCTGTCAATTATGGACGTGTTCTTCATCGCTCTTTTCTCGTATCTTCTCCTCTACGTGGGCATTCCGTGACCTTTTTTTTTTTTCTTTTTTTTTAATTGCATTCCATGGCCTCACTGATGCTGAAGGGAAGAATGCACCCCCCATTGCTATACAGATGCATCCACAACGCTACCGCCACACTACCTGGGCAGTCAGGGAACGACAAATGACGCCGAATGAGGCGAATTGTGTTTCCTTCAAACTTCGCACACACACACACACACACACACACACACACACACAGAGAGAGAGAGAGAGAGAGAGAGAGAGAGAGAGAGAGACAGACAGACAGACAGACAGACAGAGACAGACCGAGAGACAGAGAGAGACAGAGAGAGAGAGAGAGAGAGAGAGA